ACTCATTTATTAGAGTCCTTTTCTTTCTGCTTCTCCGGGTCAGACAGTGCTTGGATGGCTGGGACTTGCTGCAAAAGGGCACTGGGTGTCCTACAAGGGCTGACAGACACGTCTGAGCCTGATCATAGCGTGATTTTATCTGAGTAGCAGGTGAATGTAAATTAGAAACAATAATGGTGCATAAAAGACTGGTTAACGCAAATGAGGAAACTACAAGGAAGTGAGGATCTGTGCCTCAAACCAGAGGCAAGACAAAACACACTGCTTTGTGTTGTAGGCTTTGTCCCATGCAGCTTCTACAGTGCATCTCTCTTTCCAGGAAGAAGTTATGCTGGACAGGAAAAAACAATATCCCTGCCCATCTATAACTGCTAGAAAACATCCTCTAGTTTAAAAAAATAAAAATAAAAAAAAAAAAAAGGGAAGGTGGGGAGAGAAGGGGTGAAAAGAAAATTCCAGAAATGTAATTCAATCAGGTGTGGTCAAAAGCAAGGTCTCAAAGAAAGCCCTTGGGTCAATTTAACACAGAATGGAAGGGCTACAGAGTTTGCAAGTCTCCCTGAGACTTAAATTATAGATGGTTTCCAGGAGTTTCCTTAATAAAATTTGTCTAGGGAGAAAATATTGGTGTCAGTGAGGGGGAAAAATCTGATTCACGGAAAATGGAAAAGAGAAAGGCAGCTTCAACCAGGAGTTAGTCATCAATCTATTTCTTAGACAGAGTCTTGGCAAAACCCATTCTCCTGGTGGAACTTGCCTGGAGTAGACCAGATTGATTTGACAGTCTCTTAGCCTAATAAATGCTTGACCTCAAGGTCTGCTGAATTCACTAAATTCACTATGCAGAGAGAATTGGGAACCAATCACCTCTGGGGAACATCCTGTTCTGCAGCCCTCCCCTGATAAAGGCCTTGACTGCTTTCAGCCTTATCGAGATGACTAGATGAAAGCTGCTCTCAGAAGAAGAAAGGTTAATCGACTACGCTGCTGTTAATCAATCACTTGGAAAGATTCAGCACTTACAATAGGTAGGTCCCCCTTCCTGCCAGGAGGTTCTTGCATGTTAACCAGGGACCATCTCCTCCAGTTTGAAGGATGAGTAACAGACAGAGACCCAAACCAGATAGATGCCAGGTGTCTGATCCAAAGCCAGCTGAAGTCAATAGAAAGACTCCCGGTGAGTTCAATGGGCTTGGATCGGACCCCGGAGAAAGACTTATTATCCAAGGTTTATTCTGCATACAGATGCTGCGCTACTTTTAGTACTGAAGGATCCTTGAAAAGCAGCAGATTCATCACACTTTTGCCTCCCTGTGAAATCAAACTTCTTCAAATCATACTGTGTCCCATTTGCCCCGATTGTCAGATTATGGCTGACATCCAGCAAAGGAAAATTACCTGCCTGTGACAGCAAAGACAGACACGTATACATTTCAAAACCTCTAAAGAATATAGAAAGAAAAAATGCCAAACTGCTAATGTTTTCTTGGCCTTTTTGTAATTGCCACTAGCCAAAACGACAGCTTTCTCAGAAGAGGAAAGCTAGATCCATTTCTGAAAGGACGAGTGGAAAATTGAGGGAATGAAACCAAAAAGATCCTGCCTTGGAGAAGCAGCAGCTCAGTGCTGAACAACCAGCAGTACGCAAGGTGAGGCTGGCAGAGCCAGAGAGAAAAAACAGAGGAGAAAATGCACGCTTAGAAACTACCCCTGAAGATTAGCTATTTCTCTAAATTAACAGCTGTATTCAGCACCAACATTAACAGATGATGAAACAGCGACTGTCCTTGATGCCCGTCTAAACGGCAGTGGAGAGCCTCAGCCCATTGTCACAAACCCAGACCCTCCTACCCCCAGTGCAGAACCACTCGATAATGCACCCGCTGCTCCACACAGCCAAAAAGCCGGATGGCCAACAGCTGAAACCAAAAGATACACACATTTACAATATCCACAGCTACATGTACCTGTTAATAGTTTATTGCAGAGCGTGGTACCGACTTTGGCTTCCTCAAGGCATAGCTGGTGGTAGTTTCTCACTACCAGCCTTACCCAAGGCAGGCTCCTGGCTGAACTCGTGCCAGCCTTCACCCATCTGGCTCCGTCTGCTGCCAGAAGGCTTCAGTGCTGCTCAAATCCTGGAACAAAGCTGCTGGCCTCAAATTTTCGCGTTAGGAACAACCCAGTTTTCACTAGAGGCGGTTACCTGGAGAATGACAGACTGGTCCCATGGAGTGTACCCATCCTAGCTAGTGAAGAGGCACCAGGTCTTTCAGAAGGCTGGAGAGCACTCAGATGCAGCGACTATTCTCTGCTCCTCTGGAAGTCCATGGCCCTACAAAGCATCCTAGGCGATGGATCTTTGCTCCTTATGCAGTGACAATAAGCAACAGATTAGTGGAAGAGAATGATCTAAGGTGCACATGATTTCTATGGGCTCCAGGAAAACACTTTATCTGGGGAAGGACAGCCATCTTAAATGTAGCCATGTTCTTTGCCAGTTAACAGCTCTGGTTGCCAAACCAATTCCCTGGTCTTCCCCTTGCTGGCTGAAAAACACCCACAGGACAGACCCTGCACCTGCATCCAAAAGGAAGGACTGGTATTTGCTGACTTTTTTCCCTTTGGTTTAATTGATAAAATAACCAGGACTGCAAGCAAAGCAGGGCAGGTATCATTAAAGAGTGAAGGTGCCTGTCCAGTCCACAAGGAAACCTCACAAGAAATTCCACGTACAAAACAAGAATGAGATTTAAGAGTTACAGCAGTCTCTTTCCCCGAGAAGACTTTGGTATAGCAGCCTTATAAATCTGAAAATTTCAGCCTAACTCCATAGTTGTGCGTAACACGCACTGCATCAAAATATACAAGCAGCAGTCCTCTAAGTGGCACTCTGCTATAAGAGCCTAAAATTTGTTGTCTATAAGCTTTGTATCAAAATAATGTCAAAAGTTAACAACCTGCTAAGGTAAATGGGAATACTCTGTGGCTTTCCACCTCTTGTTTCATCTTACTGCAGGTGCAGATTCGTGAAAACAGTGCCTTATCTTCTCATGTTTGAAACCGGATTTTCACAGCCGTAACTTCTATTTTTGAATGAGATTCTGTTACACACTTAACTGTATCGCATCAATACCAGCAGGTCCAGTTGTGCTCGCCATTCTGCTGGCGTACACTGAACCACGCTCCCCTGCAATTCTCTCGCCAGTGGTGGATCCCGCTGTAGCCACAAAACTGAGAAGAGATCCAGATAAAAAGGGATATATTTCATCCGTGACTATTCATTTCTTAACCCGCAGCGGATGAGCACAAAGCACCTGCAGCTCGGTGCTAATGACCAAGTGAGGAAGTACAAAGGTTACTGCCTAATCAATTTTTCCTCGTGTTGTCTGGAATAGCATCCTACAAGGCTTAACTGCGCAAACTTGGTCGCACTGCATTATGACATCTGAAGAGAAAACCTAAAAGGAATGGAAAGATGGATGGCAGAGAAACGGAAGGAAAAGTCTGAGTGCTTTATCGACCCAACTGACATCCTATGAATGGTAAGCAATAAAAATTTATTGAGAAGTAGAAAAGTTCTTACCCTTACCACTGCCCCCCCAAATTGTTAATGCCACATAAAAATGCAAAATTCCCTTAAACCACGTATTTAAAAATCTTGCAATTTTATTTGCATATAAAGGCCGCTAGATATAATATCACAATAAATTTAAAGAAACAGCTGCTTTTCTAAATTCCATTAACAAGGTAACATAAAATAGAACAAAGCTCAATAGCATTTACAGTGGTAGAACAGAAATAACTATCTGCAACAATATTTTGTGCTAGCGAGATTGCATTTACACACAGTGCAAAATAAGAAAAAGGAAATAAAAAGACAAGAAGAATATTTAAATATAAAGGACAACTAAGCCTTATTTTACTTAGGCTTGATTGTATCCATTTGACTCTATACATGCCTGAACTACGACAAAGATTTAACTCGGGCTCTTGAAGGCCTTGAGCACTTGGAAAATGTGTCACATCCTTCATAATTTAGATGTGCTGTACAGCATAATTTTGCAGATGCTATACTGGCAATATTAAATCCTAGCTTAGTTATAATGCACAAAAAATACATATATATATAAATTCATATTTAAAAGGAGTCCGCATTTACATTTTTTTTTTTACTGCATGAAATACCTGCTCTTTGCAGCTTTCACCCCCAGTCTTTTAAAGCTAAAATAATTTAAAAACAAACAATAAAAGGTAGATATCACATACAGGCCGTAGCTATCTATATCAGTCTTTAACGTATAAAGCAGGTAGAGACAAACAACTGAGAAGTCTATTTTCCCCTTGCTGCATTCTACTGTTAACAGAAACAAGTTTCAGTCCATGCACACATATCAAGAGGTAAATGGACCCCAAAATACTGTTTGTGCTACTAAAAAAAAAAAAAAAAAATAGTAAAAAAAAAAAATCGATATAAGTGGAGATGAAAAGCTAACATTTAGACCTAGGGAAAAAGAAGACACTTAAAAAACCCCGACAATAACATAAGTTGTGCAAATTTGGGTGTTTTTAAATGCTGCCTATTTTTTAGCTTATAATATAATATTAAAATAAGGTCTCTCACTTATTAAAAGAAAGCTTGGCTGTCCTTTTGAGAACACTATAACAATTTACAATGGCAAATTTATTGAAAAACAAAATTCATTTTACAAATTCACAATGCTTTATCAATTTAAAATGAATGCTGCATTTCCAAAAAGCACAACCTCTAACTTTTCTTCTTGTTTCTTTTGTACCAGCAATTTACAAAAAAAAAAAAAACAAACCCAAAACAAAACAAAAACCCCCAAACCCCACCCCAAAACAAAAACCCCGTGGTTCCCGCAAATTCTCACACCCCGCCCCCCAATTTTGAAATAAACATGTAACAGAATGTAATTTTTATAATTAGAAAATGGCAGTTTATAGACCTTCCCCAGTTCCAAATGTGCAGTAGTGCTTCATGATCCTTGAGGGGTTGGAAGGTCAAATATAATTGGAGGGTTGGTGGGTTGAAAGCTGACTGTACACGTTGAAGCATTGATGTACGTCGTGTAACCGTCTGTCATAATGCCATAACCTGTAGGGAGAATGTGTCACACTTACTGTAATATAAACAAACGATACTGCCCGTGGGCAGCTGCACTGAAAGCTTGTTGTGGGATCAATGCTTTGGAATAAAATTGAATTAATCCTTTCAAAACGGTAGAAGCCCTCGAAAGCTGCCAACAAGGCTTGATTGAAAAAATACAATGTGCTGTATTTGAAATAAGACCTGATGCTTTTGTTTTATGTACAAACTTCCCCACCATGGAAAATCCTCTGTTGCAATTGGATACAGCAGAAACAGAGACAGAATCACAAATGTACTTTTTCTAATTACTTAATTAGCGAGCTGTAGTTTGCATGTCTGTGATGTCTGCCCTAAGAAAAAGACCAATGGGGAGCAAAAGATTTAGAAGTAACTTTGGTTACTCTGTGGGCAACGAACCCAACCCGGTAAGCTTTCCCCATGCTAGCCATTATCAACCAGTTCCTCATCACAGGACTGCCAAGCTGGTGTTCACGCTGCCTTGGGAAACCTCAGAAACTCATTAGCAGGTTAAAAATATACAACATACATCTATATTTACCTTATATGTATATATACAAACATATGTACGTATATATATATATTTACCAGTGAAAATCATGACTAAGGAAAGGAATCTCCTGCTATAAACACAACAGAGCACTGGAGGTCAATGGATGACTCCTGGTTTAAGCAAAAAACTGAGGTGAAAGTGAAACAGATGACTGCTTTTCATTATGAAGGAATTTTGATAACTTGTTCCCAGATAAAAAAGCAAGAAGTGAATATTAATCATAGGTTTTTCAACATGCCAAGGACCTGACTCCTCAGTAGCACTATGGCATCAGTTTCAGGATGCTGAAGACTGTTCTCAACCTTCTAAACATCTGGCCAGCAATGCTCTTGTTCAGAGTGTGCCTGAGGAACCAGCAGCAATGCTGTTTCTCTGCTGGCCTCGACCTTCTCTCCCACTGGCCGTATGGGAATAGGACATAACAGAGAGTTGTGCACTCTGGTAATTTTGGGCAAGTGGAGCAACCTATAGCGACCCATGAATTGAGTCACACTTGAGCCTTCATTCAGCAAGTGGGATGTGAGAAAACAAAGGGTGACAGAAGTACAGAGATACCGAGAAGGCAGAAGGTTTCCTCCTCTTACATTCTCTCAAGGATAGGGAGATAGGGGCTCCAGTTCCACCAGTGCAAAAGGTGAGAGAAAGCTCTGCCATTGTTTTCAGCTGACATCCACAGAGAGCTAACAAAGAAGCTAGAAAAAAAAAAATCTACGAAGAATGTGACACCAAATGCACCTTTTAAAAAAAAAAACCAAACATCAGAGTTTCATGGAGGAAGAGAACTTCCCATCTCTAACCCACAGGGAAAAAATGTTTTTCTTTTAAACCATTATGATACAGTACAGATCACCGCTGTCTGAAAGCTAAGATAAATACAGCTACCCACAGTGTCTATCAGAAAGAATAATCACTTCAGAATTGCTGCACTGTCTGCCGGCATTACTTTATTTATTTAGACTGGCAATTTTGATTTAGATCATCTCATGGTGGGAAAAACCTTGTTTGCAGTTGTTCTTGCTTATCAACCAGGAAAAAAAAAACCTGCATCACCAAAATGTGTGTAATATCTCCATTGATTTAATGTAATGTGGTGCGTGTTCACCGCAGTCGGAGTTGGATGAGAATTAACTGCACTGTAAGATAATGCTCTTAACAATTGGCTATTTCTTTCTGTACTGAAACAAGCTGTTCTTACATCTTCTGCATAGGTTGTAAACAGGATTTTAACTCTTTTGTTAGTAGTCCTCTAAGAATGTATTTGAACATTCACTTTTAATATGTGCTACCACCTTTCCTATGAGATTTCAACGTAAGATGCTGCATGTGGTACCTCAGTGCTTTCTCATAGTACTGATCTTGTACATTAAAATACTTTCCTCTCCCATTACTTAACACTATTACAACTAGAAGTTTCACCATCCAGTGCACCTACAAAGGCTGTAGACGATCTACATGTTTTAGCTGGAAGTCCTGCTGTATTTACTTATTCTTAATATGCAAGGATTAATATTTATACAAAATAGCCAATCTTTTTCTGGGTGCATTAAAAGACTGCTGTTCATGCCACTATACTTAAGGTCACATCAGTATTTCCATTATAAACTCTTTATTTACAGATACCAGGCATAAAACTCATTCTATGAAGTCACAAGGGCTTCAGAAAAACACACCACTACTTGAGAAAGCCGTCCTTTTTTTATTTTTCTTTTATGAAGTCCTCCAAACCTTTAAGCCTATGGAGAACCTAATTAGAGTCAATGCAGAAACCTCCAGGGGGGACAATATAAAGCATTTAATGTGTAATTTCGAGTTCTAGGGTCACAAAGTCTTACACTCTCTCTCAGGCAGAACTCCTAGTGTTTGTCTCTCAGCCACATGAAAGCTACAAAATTGTATTAAATATTTAAGTGTCTCCAAAATGGATTTAATCTCCTGGACTCTTCCACTGCCACAAACTGAGCTTATTGGTTTCGAAGCTTCACACTCTGCCTGATCTGGTACTGACAGTGGGGAAATATCTCCTCTAAAACATGAGACTGCTGGAAGGTAACACACACAGTACAAACTGTATTACAGGATGCTTTTAGAAACGTATGCAAAGTGAGTTCTGGCAGTCTCTCCTCCTGATGTCTGACTCAAGATGCCCTCCTTTCTGCTTCTCCTTATACGCTGAGGGCGGTGAGCTGAGACAGTAAGTTGCCTTCGCTTTTCCTTTTTTTTCTAGCACCTTTTTTGGCTCCGGTGCTTGGAATAATGGGGATCATTTTCATTTTGGCTTGCAAGTGTGGAGAATCTCATCTGTTTCTCTAGCCAACTTTGTCAAAATTTGAATTGCTTTCAAATAACCTGTATGGAACAACCTTTGCGCAGTGAGAGATGTAAGTGGCTAAATGTAGCGCGCGTTCCTGAAACAGTCTGTTTTAATTCTAGCATAAATTTACAAAGTGCTGCGCGCGCAATCACTTCCCTCAGTTCCCTCCCTACTTTAGTCCAATATGCCATTATCCATCCTTTGCAACACACCATTGAAACGTGCTGCTTTGAAATCAGCCGGAGATTGAAGAGGGGAGTAGCGCTGCTCCTTACCTTCATGAATCCCACCAAAGACATGGAGTTTGGGCCTTACTCGCCTCTGCACCGTGTTCAACAGTTCCACACAACCCACTCTCTGCAGCTCCTTTGGAACCCAGTCTCGAAAACCTGAAGGCAAAATGCAATCAATACTATTAATTTTCTCCATTCAGGTAAGGTTTCACGTAGTCTTTCAGGAAGTCATAATTCATGGAAGGTTTATTACATTATCTGTAGTCGTAACCTCTCCATTAAAGCACACAATGGCTTTTAAGAAATGTTTCACTGTCACTCTGTCTTCCTTAAGATTTCCTCCCTCCATCTGCATTAATATTTTTCTGGATGTGATTTGGTTTTTTAAACTATAGGCTTAAACTCATCTTCCACCTTGAAAACCTGGGACATGTATTTATTCCCGGCACTGCTGCAGATTCTTCTTCCCTTTCCCCTGGCTCTCACAGCACTCAGCTTCCCAAACCAGCTCGGTGGTTACTCCAGGACCAAAATACCTCTGAATGACCAGCTGCTCTACGACCTGACACCTCTGCCACCTCAAAGCTTTAAAACACAGTCTCCCACAACTTCCAGAGGTCTGCACGTCAGGTTACTTCTGAGTCCCTGGTCACCACCACCAAGCAATGTGGCACAATAGCTTCCAACGAGCTAGCCCTAATTGACTATGTTGCCACTCAGTCCTACGGATAATATGGAAAAATGCCCCAAAACTCGACATCAGTTACCAGAGGTCTTCTTCCTGGACTAGTGCTGATAAGGATTAGCGGGGCAGGATGAATGAGGAGGAGCAAAAGGGAAATCTGGAGCCACATCCAACTGCAGCACTGTTCTACTGACTTTACAGTAATTACACCCTGTGCCAAGTTTATCCCAGGTAGTAAAAACATGTTGTGACATGAACTTGACTGAATTTTGGAGAGAACAAAGAGTCCAGTTACAGCTCTACCTCCCTCAATATTTACGTAATTTAAAAAGCAGCATTTTGCCAATATTATCATGCAGACTGAGACCTAGACCCCCCTCCTTTTAGGCACAGCACTAGCACCTAATCTGTGCCTGTAGTTAAAATACTGTACCAACCTTTGGCAACTGAACTTCATCATCTCCATCAAAACCAAAATTTAAGTACGCTTATTCAATTAAAGCATTCATTAGTGTCTGCAGCATTACAGTATTTCTATATGAACCCAATTCAGAGCAGATGGATTAGCGACCCATTTAAAACAGCACCCGTGAAACACTGTAAACACGCTTGTGGGGGTTTTTTTTGCTTCTTTGGGAAAATAAACAGATTAAAAGAGTGCTATTCAAAGCGTTGGTTTTCAATATCCGGTGCTCTCCACTGTCAGAGGATGGTGTATCACTGCTTTATCAAAGCAGCACTCCGGTAGCTCTAGAATTAAAGAGAATTTGTGGATTGTCTTACAACATTCTCTAAGTAGTATTAAAAGAATGACGAGGTTGTAAAGGAGCAGGTACATTGCCAGTCAAAACCCTTCTGGAATTTTTTATTTTTTTTTTCCTTCCCTCAGCTCTGCTTAGATTGCTGACTCTTAACTTAATTGTGGTACAAAGCATAAGCAGGCACTAATTCCTGACTTCCTCCCCGAGATGCTCCGTGAGCGCACTGGGCCAGCCTGCCAGCACTTCAGCGCTGTTTTATAACGGCACCTTGCAATTCTGGGAAGTTTTCTTTATATTCACTGCCATCTCAAAAGTCAGTGACTCCACGCGATCATGTCATGATCTGATCCCTCAGATGTCAAGAGCTTACTAAAACACTGACAAAACCACAGTCTACTAACAAAAACGGTAATGAAGAAGAGACTGATACACTTTCTTATCCTGATAAGCCGAATTTATAAAAGACAAATGCTCAGTTGTTGTAAAACCAACTGAAATATCTAAAACATGGTCCTAGACTGCTTGCCACATGCATCTTAAAGAAAAGCAGTAAATAATGTGCGACGCTATCTTGTGGGGTAGAGGATAGGGGAAAAAATAGTGGGAATTTACAAATGGTTTTAGTATGGTTTTTAATGACTTTAGATATGCCAAAACTGAGTATTCCTGCCTCTGCTGAATGATCATCTTAGTGTCTTTTTCAGACCATCAGAACTTAGTTTAAAACTCAGAATTAAAATGGGGCTCACTGAGTTACTCACATTTACAAGGCAGGCAAAATTTAATTAAATTAAAAAATTCAACTAATTAATGAAAAACAAATTATTCATTCATATACTTGTACTCACCTGTCAGAAGTTTGAGTAAGGAATAACTACCTGAGAACATAAATTTTTTCCTTCACAAATTTTCTATAAGCCAATTAATATCTTTAAAAATACCGTTACATATTCTAAGTTTCCAAGGAAATTATGAAGGAGAATAAATATGTGGCTACATACTCCTCAGCTCTTGACTGCATACTCTAAAACCTTAAGGAAATGTATCGCTGTAATGTAAAAATGTTTTAAAAGTTTTAGTCAACCTCTGAAAAACTGCATGGGATTGAAAACTGTCAGATGAATACTGTTCTTAAATAAAATGCAAAGCTCTAATGGCTGTGGAATCAGGTATCTGATCTTCCTTACCTTGAGTTAAACAAAAAACCCTGTAATTTTTATTAGGAAACACCAGGAAGCTCAATACATCTGCTAAGCCTAATCATCACTTTACACTTCTTCCAAAAAGGCTTTTTAATTCACGGGGTTGAGTTTGGGTGCAATTACGGTATATAGTTTATAGCACTATTATTTTTGCTTATTTTGAAAGTAAAATTCTCAGGCAAAAAAAAAAATCACACACAGCTTTTGTTTCACTTACCAAGGGGAGGTCCATGTGTCATTAGTATATCAATTCCCTCAGGAATAAGGTTCCACTTGTCTAGCAAAGACTGACCTCTGGGTAGGTTAAAGCCCCATCCATTAAACCACGGTGTCCTTTGGGGGAAAATAAGATGAACTGCATCAGTATAAAATAAAAATCTTGCACCTTCTCCAATTTTTCGGAATTAAAATTATTTCCGTACTTCAGAGATTACTTGTAGACAGCCTTTTTGAAGGGGACGCTGCTAAAACAAACTGGTTCAAATACATACATACATACACACACTAATCCATACGGCTGAATTTAGATTGATATCCTGTGCTCTTTTTGTACAAGAGTATTCAGCCCTGGCGGCGTTTATCCACTAAAGAAAGGGAAAAAAATTAAAATATCAAGAGACTAAATCGAAAGCTTTTTTCCAAAGTTTGGGGATGTTCAAACATAAGAACGCCTTCTTTATGTTACCTGCCAAAACAAGCAAAATTCTCCTCAGTTTTTAGAGGCAAGAGACAATTTCTCACAGCAAAAGGCAGCTAGTGAGTAGCAGCTCAAGAGGAAGGCTGTACGATGCTGTGGTTATAAGCTCCGTCTGTACTATGGTATTTCACTAAACTGGAACTTGCTTTGTTTAGCACTTGTAATATCAGAACATTGCCACATAACTTGGCTTTGAACTCCTGAGCCTCCTTAGACGTCTTGGTCACACAACGTTTAGCCTCACGGTGACTTTTTTAATAGATCTTATAATTTAAAATTCATTCGGTATTTCTTAAGGAAAACGGAGATCCTCAGTCTCCACCCTCATAGCACAGCGTTGTTCTGAGACATTGGTTTATCCATCAACGCAGGCATGCGGTGATGAAAAGTGGACTTTCTAGAAGTACTTTTCCTATGTATAACAGCCAAACTGAAAGGTATGTTATAATAAAGCCTTTCCACATCAGGTAGGTGCACACAGCAACTGTTCTGAAGAGAGTATATTTACACCTGCTACTAACATTTTATACAGATGTTCGAATCGCAATAATTCTAAGAGTTTTCACCCATAGGTGTGTTTCCTAGAGCTCGGGCAACAGAATTTCACTGGGTTGCTTCATTTTCTAGGTCAGATACTCCTGGTCCTAGCCCTAGGCATCACTTGGGGCCACCTTTCTGAGAGCTCAAGCTACTCCTGCAGTCGTCTGAGTACTGCAGTTCTGATAATAAAAACTGGGAAAAAAACCCCAAACAAACCATCCATAAGGAAAAGCGTATCTGTTAAAAAGAGAGAGACCATTAAGAGTCCTACATAATTTCATTATACAATCTGCCTTCCGCACCCTCTAAATTATGCATATTTTCAGCCTCAAACACGCACTGAAGTGGAAATTTCCTGCTGAGATTACATCTCTAATTTTTATTTTTTTTAATTGAAGCATTTTGTTTGCCAGGTACAATAATTTGACCAATGAGGATTATATGTACGGTCTGAATTCCCGACAATCAGCAGTATGGGAGAACAGCAGGCGCTGCTAATATAGGAGCAGGAAGGTCACTGGTGTCTTAGTAACAAATAACAGACGCATCCCATGTAGTCCTACTGAACTAATACTTATACTACACACCCAGAGGAACTCGTTCAACCAAGCAGACTTCCTGGATGCTGGATGAACGCTAACAAGACAGAAAAAATTAGATGTTAGTTAAACGTTTTATGTAAGCCACAGGTTCCTAATGTGCATAGCAATGAAACTTCACCTCTCGCTGCTGCCTTACTCTGCACCCTCTGAAACATTTAAAGAGGTTCATATGTTGTAAAGTAAGGTCAGTGTTCCTCACAGGAGGTTCGTCTGCAGCTGAATTAAAACTGAAGCACGTGTCTTCGCTTTCTTTTGGTAAATCACAAGTGTTTCTGCTTTTCTATGATTGACCTTTCTGAAACACAGATCTAAATTTCCTTCCCTATAATGTTGCTAGGTTTTAACGTATCAAGATTATCATAACCTTCAGGGCTGCAGTTAAAAGTTAAAATACCGTTTGGCTAAACATTCAGCTGCTTAAAAAAACAAACACACAGCAGCATAGGTTGAACTTTTCACTGTCAATTAATGATTCTTTCCCCACTTGCATTTCTCCTGCAGATAATACTGTAGTTATTACACCATAGTTAAACCTGAAATGTGAAACCACATCTGTGATCTCTCTGGAGCTCTTTGGAGACTACAGCCACAGAAAAACCTGGATTTGTCGGCAGGTTTTTTATTTTATTTTCTTCTGAAGCACTGGGGGAGGAGGAGGAGGGGAACCTGAGCTCCAATATATTCTTCATTCACCAGCCCCTGTAATTAGCTGTGACTAACAGGCACCACATGGGAATCCACTTGTAAGAAAACTTTCGAGAAACCTGCCCTATTATGGAGCATGTGCACAAAAAAAAAAAAAAAAAAAAAAAAAAAAGAGAAAGTCAAGTACTTCTTTAATATACTAAATATTTTCACACACAATGAGTAAATCGGTGAGGAGAGCTGACATGACTGGAAGAATAACTGGGTTACAGATTTAGGTTTCAATCATTTAAGACAGGAACCTGCACTGCGCCCCGACTACGCAAACCCCGAGTCCCTGCATCCCTGAGGCAGCGTGGGCACCGCCGGGAAGCCAAGAGGAAAGAGGACGTGTTCAAAACACCACCAGTAAGAAAAAACGGCTTTATGGCACAGATTCAGGTTTAGATGAGATCACAAGGAAGGTCACCCGATGTTTGCACTACGCTGTGTTGCAGCGCAGACAAAATGGAGTTGATGTTCTGTGAATCCCGTGAGTGGACAGATGAATAGCTGTTTACCCCCAGCAAACTTCAAATGTGTGCGGGAAAGACAAAGCCCGCACTGTCGGTAGGCAGCATTCTATCAAGGGACATCGGATAGGGATATTTCACTCCTATTAGTGCCCTTTTTTGCATATGTGAGAGTTAAATAGAGTCACGCTCAACTTCAAAATAATTTAGAGGGAAACAATTGTGCACATAGTTACACGCCTTCTGCAACACCTTCTGGAGCTCATTACTTACTGGGAGAAACCACCTCATATCTAGGAAGAAGTTTCTGCGATGAACTTTGGCTGCACCCACCTGTGGTGAGTTGCAATCAGGTGCAAACAATTAGTAAAGGCTACTTAGTCATTAGTAACCGTATTTAAGATCTGACCGATTTTTGTTTCGTATGAAGTTCTACGTAAAAGATTTCAGTTAACTCCTAAATGCATTAATAGTATACTTCATTATTAAGTAGCTGGCAAGAAAAGAAAGCGATCAGCTGTTGAGTAATGCCACGAGGGAGGCGCAGACGTAAAAACCACAGGGATTAGTAATGAGAGATTACAAATGATTTTGTCATTTTACGTTTGACGGACCAGAACACATCCTCATACCCGATGCACGGCGTGATGCGGGTCCCGCTTGCCCGGCGTGTCAGCCCGCGTCCGGGAGAACCTAATTGAGCCTCTGCTCGCCACAACCACGCCGCACTTCACAGCATCCTTCACGTGCCATCAAGCCGTCACGATAACTCTTGATCCCCGGCTCACCTGACAGCTCAGCCCTCCCCTGGCTGCAAAGCTTCCTTATCATTTAGGGATAGCAGTTACGCTGGCACCAGATGTGACACCGGGAATATCCTCATCAAAGGCAGACACCTGGCCCATCGCTACTCTCTCCAGTTCTTCATTGCTACGCAGGAATCCCCACAGACCCCCCTCCACCTGGCACTTTGGAGGTTACATTTTCTGCAATTAAAAAGAATGCTTATGCAGTAGTGGGCTGCGTATTACCTTCACGCTTTGCGCTGCAAGAGACGCAGACATCACTTGACATAATACCAAGGAGGAGGGGATCTTAACGTTCGCGACAAGAGTCACCCTCCTTTGCAGGTGCTGGGAGAATTCCCTGACAAGGCACACAAATCCACCTGCTTTTCAGGCAGAGCGCCTTAAAAAGGCTCTTCAGCAGGTGATGGGATCTCCCTTTACCCAAGTTACTTTGTAAACCTTTACTATTATACTATTGCATTTAAAAAAAAAAAAAAAAAAAAGAAAAGCAGCAGTGATGGAGCGTTATTTTATGACACAAAATCACAACCGCTCCTTGGTGTGTACACCTCAGAAGCAACACCGTCACACGGGGAAAACAGGAGACACAAGGCCATGGCCAAGTTCATCCAGGAATTTCAACTCCTTCTGGAACTTTAACATTTTTAAAGGATGATATCTCCTACTACCTACTTTCATCTCTTCTCTGGTTCATGAATTTAAATTACCTGATCCTCAGAGTTCAACAACTCAAAAGGTACATGTACAATGAGACCTTCTAGATTCAGGTTTCCCTTTTACCTCTACCAGTAAATCCATTTATTTCAATAGTTACTTCTAAACAGGATTAGAAAAAATAAATTCTCTCATGGGTTTTTAATCTCAAGTATTGATTGATTTTTATGGCTACCCAGTCTTTTAGGAAAGTTTCCATTTTATCCTTAATCCAATGAGTAAAGTGCACAGGAGGCAAAAATCTCAGTCTGTGTCCTTCTGAAAGGTGCCTAAAAGGCATCATGAGCAAGAAGCACTTCTACACAACCGATAACCATAATGAAATGCTCTTTATTTTTGTCAGCATTCAAATCAAACGAGGCTCATGAGGGACAGAGCCAGTTCCATTCGCAGAACAAAAACGGTGGGACAGGACACCGATGTGCATTCCTGGACTTGTTCAGTTACAGGATTAGCCCACAAACATATCCCCAGTGGATCTATTACAGTCCTAGACGAAAGCTGCAGCACACAGAACAAAGTGCAGCAGGGGTAAGAAAAAAAAAAAAAAGAAAGGAGAAAAAAAAAAAGGTGACCTTTGTGCAGAAAAAAGAAAAGCCTTTCAATCCTCCTCCCTCCACCCCAAACGCTGCACACAAATGTTTGCCAGGGCAGAGCAGCACACACGTGCCCGACTCCATTCAGTCACTGGCCAGAGCGTGCCCCGTGGGAACGCACAGAAAGGGACCACAGCGTGGGGTGAGGAAGAAGGGGAAGGAGGAGAGCCTGTGTAATCATGGAAACACAAGGCTGAGCAGGGCAAGGGCACAATGTG